GGATCAAAGCAAGTTTGGATGCCATGTTCACGCCAACCTCCCTCAACAAACCCATTTTGGACAAGGCAGACAGCAAGGAGATCTACCAGTTCCTCTACAACCTAAGAGAAGAGACATCGGTCTAGAAGATCAGTCTTCATCCTATGGTTCAAGAGCACATCAGGCAGAGATTTCTCAATCGCTACACTCAACCAATCGCTGCAGTCCATTTTGCTGATGGAATAAAACAAGTCCTAGACATAAAGAGGCACACCTTTGCGCATAATCAGATAGTATTCTACGAGGACACAGTGGAAAGGACTCACAGACGGATATGTAGGTTCACATATTGTGACCTCATTAATCTAAATCCATGGCATCTTCATTTGTACTACTTTACAGATCACAAGAAGGACAAGAGAGTAAAGTACGCCATGGCCAACTCTTCCATTCACCAAACAATGACAGACATGCTCGATTTCAGAAGCAAGTTCGACTTCCAACTAGCTCTGGATCTAGGAGCGGATCAACTGACAGTGGCTGCTCCAAATGAAGAATTGCACGGGATAACACCCTAAAAGAAAAATATATTTAAACCGAAAATAATGACGAGAACCAGAATCTTGATATAAAATTCACCCAACAAAGGTAATAGTATAGCGTTTACAATCCAACTACTGAGAAGATAAATAAACAACCTACTAATCTAGATTACTCTATGTCTAGATTAAAGACGGGTGTTTCTATCAATCTCCAAAAAATATCGTAACATCAAAACGCATCGCTCAGAAGTAACCAAGGCTATAACTACAAAAGAGCCTTTCACGAATCAACGCTCCACTCAGCCCTTTTGAGCCCCGCCGCTAAAGGAACCTGATATACGAAACATTCAAGAGGAAGTGTTAGGCTTACGCCTAATGAGTCTAGACGATAAAAAAATAAACTATTTAACCAACAAGAGTGTGTATATATATATACATATATACAACGAAACCTCAAACGATACAAAAGTGAACACTTTACTCCAAAGAATCTCGAGGTGAGGCCAAAACATCCGAAGATGACGGGGAGACCCGATTTACCACTAATCATGACGGAACACAAAGTAAGTCATAGATCAACGTTATAGAGCATCACTTACGTGTATAAATACTATCGACATCAACCTAAACCAGTTATGTAGTCGGTCGTGATCATAAGCTCTTTACCTCAGAAATTACATAATAATCACAATGCCTATTTCCGAGTGGGTGAGAAGATGGTTTGGAGATTACATAATAATCACAATGCCTATTCCAACTTACACCATCCCTCATAAATTTCACAATGAAACGACATTCATGCCCATTTTGTCRTTAAGAGGAACTCCAAACTAAAGATATGAAGATTTTAGAGTTAACTAACCAACAACATTGTAATGAGTACTTTACCAACTGAACAAGACTCTTTACCCTATTCAACYTGTCATTATAAATAGAACCATCCAAGTTCATTCCTTAGACCTAGTAGTCTCCGCTAATCAAGCAAGTAATCACGTAAGTTAAGGTATAAGGACAGAAATGTACTTCATTTCAATTAGTAAAAGCTTTCGTGAAAAGAGAGGGTTTGAACTCACTTGCTGCTGCTGTTTGATGAAGATCGAAAAGGTTGCGATAGCCCTTCCTCTTGCTGCTGTTTGATGTTGTCGGGAACGAAGAGAGGCAGGCAGCAGGTGCTGCTGTCTTGCTGTCTACAGTTTGGCGAAAGAAGAAAAACGCAGCAGCTGTGCTACTTGCTGCCGCTGTTGCAGAACGAAGAAAACACAACAACTTGCTGCTTGTTGCTACTGCCCGGCGAAAACGACGAAGAAAAACAGCACACAGCGCCTGCTGTGTTGCTGTTGCTGCTGTCGAGACGAACACAGACAGCAAAGACGCGCAGTCTTGCTGCTGCTACTGCTGCCCGAGAAAGAAGTGACAGCACCCCTTTCCTTGATGCTGTTGATGTCCGATACGGTGAAGGGGCGACGACTCTCACAACACGACTGTTGTTTGGGAGCAGCACACGCAGAAAAACAGCACCACATGCTACTGTTCGTTGCTGTTGCTTGCTGCTCGGTGAAGGCAGATGAAGAAGCTGTACAGCTACGGCTGTTGTTTGCTGTTTCTATTTGACATGGCACGACAACGCCTAGTTGTCGACTGGTGGCCCGAGAAGCGACCGAAGAGCGCAGGCAACCACCTGCTGCTGCTGTTGATGGTTCGAGAATGTGCAGGCAGTGAAGAAGCAGACTTAACAGGGGCTGCTGTTTGGCGAGCAGAAAAGTATTGCACTTAACCGGGGCTGCTGTTTCCTGTGAGGTGAAATAGTCGGAGTAGGCAGTCCGGGAGTCTGCTGTGTTGGCCAAGGAAAACCGAAGGATAAAATAGAGCTGGTCGCTGCTTGGTGTGGCTAAGAAGGGATGGTGCGGTAGGCCGCGAGTTGGCCGGAGAAGATGGAGGAACAGCACCGAAATGCCTGCTGTCCGGCGATTCTTTTTCTCCCTTGACTTCTTCCTTTTTTTCTTTCTTTCTTTCTTTCGGGTGAAGGGCTTCTTCTTCTTTTATCTTTTTTTCTTTCCCTCTTTCCCTAGGTGCAGCCCTCAACCCCTTTTACAAAAGCTTCTGTCCCCTCACTAAATCTGAACCAACAGTTAAGAACCTAAGGTCAATAGGGAAACTTCTCAATTCAATATGCTCTAAGGTTAAGATCCACTATTAGAGGGTAACACCCCCCCCCCTTTTGAAATAGGGAAAAATAACAGTTAAGGTAAAATAACATAGAAGGAAATTCCGGGTGTTACACACGACATCAACAGCATCCCCTCCTGGACAGTTTTGGTGGAACCAGATATGGGAGTGGTGTTTCAAAACGAGCACAAACAGAAGATCTTCTTTCGAGACAACCAAAATTACAAATACTCCAACTCTACTCTGCGCTATATAAGAGACAATCTGTTCAGGAGCAGAGACAACTCCCCTGGAGCGAAGGAGCGAGCCAAAATAATCCTAAGGTCGATTCGAAATATGCTTGAGTTTTGTGAACTTCTTAGGAAGTTCATTAAACTTCAAAACGTTTAAGACCTCTTATCTTTTGTAAGTACCTCCTTATTTTTGATTCAATATAATTTCAATTTCAATCGTATTGTACTTCATTAGATAGTTAATGTAAACCAGAGGTTGTATTTAACCTCTGTCTTCGATTAGACCTGTTTTGTAAATCAAGTAAGAGTCCTTCTTATTTACACTTAGGGGGAGATTGTTAGACCCCAAACTTGTAAAAGTGTAAGTAAGAAGTGTCTTGCTCCAGTCAATAGGACTTAGTCTATAGAAGTTGTCTGGCTAAGAGCTCTCATGCAGAGGATCAAGGACCAGAGCTCTTACTCAGAGTGAAGGTTCCTTTCATACAGAGTCCGCGATCCATCTCCATGAACGTTCAAGTCTTGTGCGCCAAAAAGCATAAGCGCTTGACTCAAAGCAACAACTCCAAGACCCAAAGCCTCTACATAGTACATGCAGAGCCTCTGCATAGTACATGCAGAGCTTCTGTATGTTCATGCAGAGCATCTGGCTACCTTCTTCATGGAAAGTGCGCGTTAGCCCAGACATTCTCGCAAGCATCTAACAGCTTAATGGCGGCTTGACCAAGTCTGCTCTGCTAATCAAGGAAAGTCAAAGATAAGGATGCAGACGAGTCAGCTCAGAGTTTCATGCCTAATTTATAGCTTAGTTTGCTAGACCTAGGCGTATAAAAGGAGGCCTTCGCCTCAGGTTCAAAATACCTGAAGGGGCCGACTGATACTATACGCAAATTCTTGTGAGATTACTTTTGTTCTTCATTGTTCATTATTATCAATAAAAGCATTCGGTTATTCAAAGTTTTATTCACTGTTTTTACTTTCTTCTTTGAATATCTTGTTTAATCAATAGAGATACTTTGCTATTCTTAATTCTTATTTTACGCAAACTATATTTCTACAACTTAAGAGTATATGGGTTCCAACAGGATGCATGCTTTTAAGTTTATGTATGTACTCGATAAATGTATGTACAAATATGTAAAAACTAGATGTATATATGTATAGTAGTAGTAGTATATTCTGATAGATATATATATATATAGTGAATGTATGTAATACATATATAGAGGAAAGTTCAAATGCAAACTCAATTTTTATCGTAAACGTGAGGACTGCTCTCGACCCTCAATTTTTTTTATCCAACAACTCACATTAAATATAGTTTTTAATTCAAATTGTTAGTTAAGATGATTTGGGGTAAATTAACATTTAATTTCAATCCACCCCTACCATTTTTGACTTTTTATTTTCTTTTTTAATTAAAATTTTTTACCTACTTAAAAGTTTAAAATAAATTATCTTAAAAATTACTAATATTTTAATCAAATAAATTACATCAAAAAAACGAGAATTCCATGCTCTTCGATTTGACATCGGTCTCTATATATAGGTTTTTTTCTTTTTAATCGTTTTTTACATGAAATGGTATATATGTGTTATATTCACAATGAATATTTATGTACGTTCAAGTGAGTACAACAGCTTGACACCGTAAGTCTGTTACTCAACATCACCTTCTTCAACATTTTCTTCAACGTCATAAGGCACCACGTTCTTTATCACCATAAATCAACACCCATCGAGACCGATCGAGGAGCCATTGAGACCGAGAAAGAACTTATGGAGACCAATTGAGACCGATCGAGAATGGTCAATGATCCATTCGTTAACTTGATATGTGTTTATATATGTTAAACCATAACCTACCACCAGTGGCGGATGCAGAAAAATATATTGTAGGGGGCATGAGATAAGATAAAATAATAATTAAGTTTAATTTCATACAAAAATGATAAAAAGTTACCTCTTACAACTATGCCCTACGACTCTTCATCTTTTGAAATTGAGTAATTACATCATCGTTGAAACTGTGAGAAGTGCTTCTCTTTTAATGGTACATATCATTGCAGCATTCAAAAATTCATCACCGATTTTGTTGCACAAAATCTGACTTCACAATCTTCATAGCAGAAAAACATCTTTCAACTGTTGCRGTAGCAACTGGCAAAACCAAAGCCAACTTCAATAACCGATATACTAGAGGATAAGTTTTATGCTTTTTTGTTTCCACTAGCAATATAGAGAGCTCTGCAATACCACTCAAATTGGCAAATCTTTCATCTTGACGCACAATCAAATAATACATGTTAAGTTGTTTCTCAAGAGCGATCCTTTCCATATGACTAAAATCTTGAGGATACAACTCACTCAACTTCAATAAATCTGATACAATGAACTGAGAAAATGAATCGCATAGACTCAAAGCTGCTATATTTTTAAGCAATTCAGTACTTACCTCACTAAATCGATTCCCAAACTCTTGAATTTGCATGTCCACAACAGTGTTGAAAATATCAAACTTGTAATAATGACAATTGGTGATGTTGGTCCTTTGTCTTCCGTTTTTTGAATAACGGTCTTCCATATCCAAAGCTTTAATACCATTTGCTTCACAAAAAGAATACATTTTCTTCAAAAGTGGATGAAAACCAGTTTCTCTAAATTGTTGCAATAGTTGTTTGGTTCCTCTTATCAATGAAACCGCTTCCAAAATATCTTGATCTTTTTTTTGAAGAGCCTGTGACAACAAGTCTGTGACTTCTAAAATATGAAACATCAAATGCAAATAAATCACGAAATCAAATGTCTTGAAATATGCTAAAATACCAGTTGCTTGAGTGCGACTAAAACCATTATCCCCGTCCTCTTCAACATACCGGAGCACTTCAACAATATTTGGAAACAAAACAATTAAGTTCAAAATGGTTTTGTAATGAGAACCCCACTGTGTATCTCCGGCTCGTATAAGAGAAAGCTCTTGGTATTTCCCTGTTCCAGTATCAATTTCACACTTACAAATTGCTTCTTGCACTCTATCTTTGTAACTTTGTCGAAGCATGTCTTTACGCTTGCAAGAAGCATTCACCACATTGATCATCATTTCTAACATATTAAAAAAGTTCTCAACTCCGTCATGTTTATTTGCAACCGCCACAACAACTAATTGAAGTTGGTGAGCAAAATAACGGATATAATATGTCGAGCTATTTTCATTCAAGATCAAGGCCTTTAATCCATTGAACTCACCGTGCATATTGCTTGCTCCGTCATAACCTTGCCCTCTTACCTGTTTCAAACTCAATCCATGTTCAACAAATAAAGTATCAATGGCAGATTTAAGAATTGAAGAAGATGTCCCCGTCACATAAACAATACCAAAAAATCTCTCCTTAACAATACCACGTGCATCAATATATCGTAAAACCACCGCCATTTGTTCCTTCTTAGAAACGTCACTAGACTCATCAACTAGCAATGAGAACACATCATCACCAACTTCTTTACGAATGGAGTTGAGTATTTGATTTGCAAACCAAGCAGCAATATCTTTTTGAATACTTGGAGACACCATTTGATTATTCTTTGGAGCATTTTTTTTAATATAACTTTACCTACATCCTCATTGCAATCACCAATTAAGGCTAATGTTTCTAAGAACATGCCTTTAGAAATAGACATTTCAGATTCATCGTGACCACGAAAAGGCAATGCATTCTTCAACAAGAATCTACAAGCCTTAATTGAAGCATTTAATCATATTCGGTGTTCAATTTTCTCCTTCTCAGTTTTCTTATGAAAGGCAACGACAATAGATCAATCTTGGCTCATTAGATCCTCACCTTTCTTAAGTGCTCTATTGTGAAAACTATTAATGTCGCCAACATGAAGACCATGTCTCTCCGTTTTATTCCAACTATTAAAGCCATCTATTACAAAGGCATCACTCCCACATTGTCCTACGTAATGATCTCTAAACAAATAACAACACAAACAAAAAGCTCTATCCGTTTTTACACTATACTCCAACCAATTAGCGTATTGATCAAACCAAGTTGGACAAAAATGTCTTCTTTTACTCCTGACATATTTTTTTGGAAATGCATGACCCCGTGGTTGACAAGGTCCTCTAAGCTAGTATTTTCTCCTTATTTCATCCCTTTGATTAGGATGATATTCCTATCGACTAGATCCCAAGGAAGATTGTTCAAATCAATTTCGTAGGGCATCGAAGGAGCAGAGCTCGATTCAAGTGTTGATGATTTCCTTTTAAAAAATCTTTCCATTTTTTCTAGCAATAACAATAACAAGATGAAAATCAATGGTTTATCTTTATCAATAGTAATATTTCCAATTTGTCTATAAAGTTGCAAAATTAACCTAACATAAAGCATTTACCAAAATACCAAATCATCAATTGTGAAGCAAACAACAAAATCAAAGTCATTCAAAATTAAATATTGGAATTTAGAAATCAAAAATTTTACCCAAATCAAAGTAGAGATTGGAGATTGGAGATTGGAGTAGGTAAGCAGACTGCAGTAGCCTGTAGCCACACACTGCACCGCATGTAGGGAAGAAGCAGCCACAGCCGCACACAAGGAAGAACCGAAGAAGCAGCCAGCAGGAGTAGGTGCATGCGTGAATAGGTGAAGGCGTGAAATGTTACTGTGTGAACTGTGAAGGAGAAGGACTAAGGAGGGGGCCTTCATAATTTTATTGTTGGGGGCTCAACCAAATTAAATTAAAAACTATAAATAAATAAAAATTGGGCTTTCTAAACATTTTTTTGTTGGGGGTCCAGGACCCCAATGGTCTCCATGTGCATCCGCCACTGCCAACCACCTTCATTTTCCATCGAGAATCTATCAATTGATTTATTATTTGTTTTTATATAAAACCATAGACTATCACTTTCATCTTATATCGAGAAAAATCGGGAACACATCCAGATCGGTCGACAACTCATTGGGACCAATCGAGACTAATCAAGAAGCCATCCATTGACTTGATGTGTGTTTGTTTGGTAATATCATAACCTACCACTTTTAACTTTTATCGAGATGGATCGGGAAATCTATTGAAACGAATCGGAAACTCATCTAGATCAATCGAAGACCCAATAAAGAAAAAGAAAGAAAAACTAAAGTATGCAGCGTTGAAAATTGTAGTACATTCATGATGAATAATATATATATATATATATATATATATATATATATAAATATATACACACACTAGAAGATTACTCGCGCAATGCAGCGAGATACATTTTGATTTTAATATTTCATTTTATTCTTTATCTCAGTGGATGTTATAGTATGGTCTTATGTGATTTTGAAAAAACGATGATGTTTTTATTTTTGAATAAAATATAAACTTGAAAATATCATAAAAAATTGACAAAAATATATCGATATTAGTATCAAATTAACTATTCAAAATTCCTATTTTTTGTAATTTTTTGATTCAATTTTTTTAATATAATTTAATTTAGGTTCAATAATAAAGTAACTTATATTTGGATTAATAATATAATTTTCTTATAATGATAATGGTATTCCCTGGTATGATCAATCTTCAAATATATCTTCAAACATTCATGAATCCATGGCAGATTTAGATTTGAACTTGTAAGAACATGTAGAAGGAGATGAGACGATTTGTCAAACTTGGTCAAACTCTATTATACATAAAATGTATATTACAATTGAGCTCCTACACAATAACACTAAAGATAAGCTATTTATAGGGACAAACAATAACCCTCAATGTCAAACTCAAACCTTACAAGGAAAGTCAAACACGATGTCTATTTTACAATTATAGACAAAATTAACTTTACCAGACGAATACAATTAATACATAAATTCAGTCCTAACAGATAATAATTAATTATTTTGTTAGAACTCGATAATTATCGTAATTATATTTTAGATTTTAAAACGAAATGTTTATCCTCTATTTGATTGTCTTTATTCGCAGTTAGTTACACGAATTCAAACATGGAACTTTAATAAGTTGTAGTTATGCATAATTTACTTGTAATCTTGAATTTAAGTAATATGCATCAATATACAGTACTTCATGCATAAAAAATGGTTTTTAAGAGTTTTTGTCAAATGCTTTATAATATACTATAGATATGCATGATGAATATTGATGTATGATGAGAATTCAACATATTAAGCACTTGTTTTACGTCTTATTTGTTAAAATAGTTTCCTTTCATTCCCACTAAGAGTCATTTTTATTAATTTATTTATACATTTATTACTATGGAGCTAAATATTGTGGTTGACTTGTTGGTACTCATGGATGAAGCTAATGGGGAGTTTTTGTTAAAACAGCAGGATGCTACAACATTGGTGTAGCGGCGATCTGATTCATGTACAGCTTTTTGGAGGGCTTAATGATTAAGATGTTGCCTTTTTGTACTCATGGAAGACAACGGTAGAAGCTGACTTTTTATTTAAAACCCTGTGGTTAAGACTCTTGTTAGATTATTGTACTTTTAGTTACTCTATTTTTACTTTGTAACTTGATTTAAGTTGCTTAACCTCCATTATACTTTTGTCTTTTAGTGCCTCCTTTGTGTATAAAAGGAGGGCTTGGGTTTCATTTTGATAATCCATCCTAACACCATCTAGCTTTAAAATAAACCCTCTCCAAGGGTGATTTGTAGTAATCTTTTGGGAGCAATACAAGTTCTTCATTTTTTTTGCTTTTCATCTTTAATTTCTCGTCTTTTAATTTCCGCTCTATATTTTACGTTCCTTTACGATTATTGTCATTTACATTCCGTTATTTATTTTTCGTAATTTACTTTCTCGTCATTTATTTTCTCGTCATTTATTTTCTTGTCATTTACTTTACACAATTTACATTTATGTCTTTACTTTCCGTCATTTATTTTACTTGTAATTTACTTTCCGTTATGAGTAGCTAAGCTTTTATAGCTTGGGTGTGAGACGGAAAGGTGAGATCTTCAAACCAAAAGAAAATAGCTAAGTGTTTTCATAAACGACGTTCCATTGTTTCATTCGAGTTTTTATAAAACCAAGCACACTTCTTGACGGGTTGATCACTTTGAAAATGTTCAAGTGCCATGGACTTAGAGATAAGCAATTGAATGCACGTCAACTTGAATGACATAAGAGGTAGACTTGAGAAAGTTGCCGATAAGGAGACTTCTCATTTATGTTTTTCGAACTTAACTCCCGACGGGTTGGTCACTCTTCGAAAGTGTCAAAGTGCGATAGATTCAAAGATGAACTATCTAGAACACATGCCAACTCGAATGATATGGGAATCAATTCGAGAGAGTGATTTTTAACAAAGAGATTTGCTTATCCATATATTTTGAAGACACCATCTTGTCACTATCCCTGGTCCTGACACCACATAGAGATATGGATGGAAAGCAATAATATAGTGTAATGGTGAAGTCCGAGAGGAATACCTTCAAAATAGATGGTGGAACTAAGTTTTGAAACACTACTTGCTGTAGCATTCCTACAGCATTGGCTTCTGGAATTTGTGTTTGGGCCTCACCTTAAGTCTTACACCCTTGCTACTTTTATATATTCTGTATTCTGTTTTGATTCACCTTAATATCAAACTAAAGTTTTCAAAATCATCATCTAAAATCATCTCTTTCATTGGACTCTCATATAACTTTGGCTACAATCTTCGTGGACGATAATCCGATACTTGTACCACTTTATTACTTGGAAAGACGACATTGGACCGTATTGTATACTTGCTTTGTGGTCCATTTCAGTAGTCTAAACGGTGTGCGATATAACCGACCAAGTTTTTGACGCCGCTGCCGGGGATTGGCAAGGTAAAAGTTTTATTTTGAGTTAAGTAAAAGATTTGATTTTTCTAGTACCGTTGGAATCGTTTTTAAAAGTGGTGTATGCCACAGTCACATTACGGGGAATTTTTCGAATTTGATCCCGATATTGAGAGAACGTTTCAGCATAGGAGGAGGGATAAAAGAGCATTTTTTTGCTCTACTCCCTCCAAACATGGCATTACCTCTTCTAATCATTCCGGAAATACCGCATTTGAAAAACCAACCACCGGTTTTTGCACCAATTCCACCATTCCTGAACTTTCAACAAGGACACACACATAATGATAACAATTTGGGTAATGAGGACACATAATCGGAACATAATGAACAACAAAGAGCACAAACTCCGAACATCATTAATTTGGTAAATTCCAAAAATGGAAGAATCATGGATTATGTTATTCCAGATTTTGAGCAATTAAATTCCGAGATAGTTAGACCACATATGACCGCTCTCCATTTCAAACTAAAACCGATAATGTTTCACATGTTGCAAACGAACGGCCAATTTGCCGGATTACCATCGGAAGACCCACATTCACACTTAAAATATTTTATGGAAATCACTGATGTTT